TACTAAGATAGAATGCGTCCAATGCAAAGAAAACGTGACCTACTCCAATAGCCATGGAGTGGAAAGCTGCAAACCCTGTCAGGACTGCGGTCTACGAAATGTCCTTCAAGAATGTACCTCGGACCAAAATCGCAAATGTGGACGTAAATGTCCCAAAGGGTATTTCTTTGATGGCCACATCACTGATTGCAGAGAAACTACACCAGCAACAGTCTCAACCACAAATTTTTCAATACAACCTTCTCCTAGCATTTGGCCACAACTTTCATCTCCTTTAGGCGGTGGCTCGTCTACAGCAATTGTAGCGTCTATGAAAGATTTATTCTCAGTAGAAAGTGTTACCTCGACGAGTATAGCGTCGACTCCAAGCGTAAAGCCACAGCGTTCATCGCTGATGAGCGTTTTGTCTCCACTGGTACTAGGAAACCGTTCCTCTACAAGCATAGAATTCACGCAGGTTGTCATGCCACAACCATCGTCATTGTATCGTGGAATCGTATCAACTTCGATTCCTGGAGGTATAGGAGTTTCAATACCTAAAGGAAACGACGCCTCTGCAAGTGTTCCGGGGAAAAAAAAGACTCAGGGAAGGAAAGGCAAAGCTTTGACACTGTTGACTATATTGGGAATAATAGGATCGATAGTTTTTATCGTCATCTTTACACCGACTGCAATAGTTTGCTGGATAAAATGCAGAATTTCTGAGAAGACAAAGCCAGAACAGACAGGTAGGATTATACTAAAATAAATGAGGATAGGAAAAGCTTTAGTGAAGGGTTCTAAATAATCTAAGCGACAAGGAGCCTCGGCCTAATAGCCCTCTTGAGTGACTTGAGTGGGATTCATAATTTGCTAACTCGAAATATATATAGTTTCGTAATATTTTCCTTCGCAACACGACAGATATCACGATAAAAGCCCGAGTCTTTAATAGTTAACCCACCCTGTCTTCTCTGGAATGGAAAGTTCAAGCACAGGGGACTGAATCTTTTATACGTAGTCGACTTTTTGAGGATAGTACAGATCATAGACATCATATCAAGCCAAAAAGAATGAGCAAAAAGAGACTATCGCTCATGGCTTGCTCACTTTTTGACCGTTTCCATTCAGTGACCTGGCACAAGGAACGCAGATCGTTTTCAAAATGATTTTTAATTTGTCGTTGCAGATCCTGCTGGAATACTTCTGAACCTCTTACGAGACACTGAGAATTCACCGAGCCGCTCTTTGCCAGGTAAGATTATGAAGCTGATAATTTTCCATTCGTTTACCAGGAAAAGGGCCGATACCGTAGACCTGATCGGAGTTCTAATCCCCAAATTACGTTACAGCTACTCAGCTAGTTGGCAAACCTTGAATTTTGTGTACGTTTTCTTCACTGTATCGAGGATGACTACTTTTTTCCTCTTTCGAACCTCTCCGTGTTCTTACAACTTCCCAAACAGTTTTTGAGAACTCTTTACCTCTCCAAAAGGGTTACACATTTGTCAGCAGGAATATTGCATTTTTTGTGTAATTAATATTACTGGTAGATATGTTGATAGCCAGGCCTCGTTTAAAATGCCAGAAGTCGGTCAAGGCTTGTGATTTTGAAGTGAATCGTTGGTTGAAAAAAGAAAGGGTCAGCCACCGGGCCAGACGTATAGACCTAAATGTTGTGTGTGAAAAAATGCCCCCTTTTTTATCTCTTTTTCATACTTTTTGGTACCTGTGGAACACTCCCGTTCCCCCTTCGCTCAGGCAAAATGACCCCTGAGGAGGTACCTGTATGAGTCACTCTAACTCTGAAGACAATCTCATTTGGTTTTTTTTTCACCATTTGATTTTCAGAAACCGTTAGCTCTTTTCAAAACAACACTGACTCTGCTGAAAGTTTAATGGCTTCTCAAGGAAGTGAGTCCTTAGATGGTGGGTGGTTCAAAATTTTCACGTGCCTATTTACTTGGTTTATTTGATTTTCTTTAGCACTCAGATAAATGGAAGCCAAAACCGCACTATTGTTTCCTTGTGAAATTGCATTCTTGAATTCTTTTAGTCTCCGTTCGACCAAAATGGTAATAGCTAAAGACCCGTGAAATGGTTCTCTGAACAAAGCCCTTCATTTGGCGCAGTTCCTCATGAGCGCTGTTGCCTCTTCTCTGATATCTAATGTAATCAAAAGGTTTTATTTTTTAATAGTTTTTAACAAGACTTGCAAAACAAAATGCCTGATATTAACCGTTAAGTTTGATGAGGGCCAAACTGAATAAACCACATACACTCTCTCCCCTATCATCATACCTTTCCATTTATGCAATAATCCCCGGCAACTGGAAAAGCCAAATTGTCAGTGAATTCACCATAATAAAATTCATTCAATTACAGTTCGCCGTGATGGTCAAGGAGACGACAAAGATTTTGTTCTTACGAATGACATTCCCGAAGGTATGGAAATGAGTGACAAGTAATGAATTCCCGTCCTTTGAGTGTAAGATCAATGTTATTAGCAACTTAAGAAGCCTTCATCACTCCCAGTTCCCGCCTGCAGTACCCACTCGTCTTCTAGGCGTTAGCGGGCAGCTTCCACCGGGGGTGTCCTCAAATGAGCATTATTGTGATGATGATAATGATGATTATAATTGTTACTTTTTTTTCCTTTTGACTTTGTCAATTTGATTGTTCTTTCGTTATATTAGACTTCAAGCTCACCGACTTTCCATATGATGTAGAGGATTCTATTCTGCAACTAGATTCTGATTCCTCGCCAGTTCAAAAGAACTGGAAACATGTCGCTCACAGGTTTAAAATTCCCAAACAAGACATTCAGCAAATGAAAACGGAGAGCAGGAAGCCAGGAGTAAGTGCAATAAGGCTTTTGATTGAAAAGTTGTGCAGTTTCAAATGTGCGACTCTAAAAGGGTTCGTAGACGTCCTCCAGGAGCTGGAACGTAACGATGTTGCCAACGACATTATCAGCTGGTTTAGGGAAAAACAGGACAGATGTTCAGAGGAGGGTAAGAATTGACAATAAAGGCTGTTGGGTGTTTCTTTAACATCATGTTCCACGCATGGACTTTAAGAACAGTAACGGTTGGGAGTTATTGAGTCGGTCTTGTAAATGACGTAACTGATTTTGTGTATTTAGTAAAATCAAAGTGATCTGGACAAAATTTTTGGAAAGTAGGGATACACGTTGTTGGAGAGATTTTGTTTTAAGATTAGGCTACAGGATCGTTTTAAACAGGTGTTTTGAAGATTTAGGCAATTTTTGTATTGAAATTTATGTTAGGTAGTTCGATGAAAATTTTACATAATTTTTCTAGGTTTTTGTAACCTTTTTTAATCTTTGCTCTTAGTTGTAAGGTTGTAAATAATTTTAGGTAACGCTCTTAAGTGCAATTGAGGACGAAATTTTTCTAATGTTGTGCATGGTCAGAGTTTCTTTATTGTAGCAAAATATGCCGGTATCCTATATATCTGAATGTTTCAAATTTCAAACAGGCCGGTGGTATAGAACACGGAAGGTTGTCTGAAGTTATCTTTCCTTATGGTATTCCTTAATTTCGGTTTTCAATTTACTATGAAAGGCTGAGAAAATACTACAGCCTAATTCGCTTGGCATTGCTTGATCTCACATTGAGAAGAAAGTAAGCACTGCGTGCTGAATCTATTTTAATAAGGATATTTTCGATATTATGTATGCTCTGAGGTCATCCTGTATGTGACCCGCCGAAGTTTTAAACTTGGCTTAGTCAGATTGATTACTTTTCCATCGAGTGTCGAAGTAACTTGACTTGTTGATATTTCATTGTGCCGTCGAGAAATTCGCACCACCACATAGCCAGATGCAAAACTGAAACCAATCGCGAATTAGTAAAAGGAATTTTTCCAGGAGCACAAAGCAGCTCTCATGCGTTAATTTACAGACTTTAAGCTCTCTCACAGGTTTCTCAGTTATAACGTTTAAATTAAAGTTGTTTGATTGGCCACTGCGAGTACTTTGCTTTTGAATTCACGACCCGCAATTAAGAAGTTCCTTCCCAGCGATAAATTCTGAGGTAGTAATGAGTTTTGTATCATTGTAGTTAATCTTTTTTAGTTAAGTATTGGGGCATAGCTTGGTGACGTTTCCTGGGGTGCTTCTCCTGAAACTCATGTGAGGTTACTTTTTTAAAAATATTTTTTTGCTATCAATTCTGTACAAAACTTATATTTAAGGTTTTCAAAAACAGACAAATCCGAGGAAACCTTTAAAAAATCCAAGCTACGCCCCATTTGTAACCTGTGCTTGCCCGTATCCGCTTTTCCAATCAAGATCCGGGAACTGGTAATTAAATATTGGTGGGCAACTTAGGTAGTCATGCCCTTTGAAAAATGGTAATCAGCACTCTAAGATAAAATAGTAAACTTACGCAATATTCATCGTGCTCAACTTCACAGAAAGTTAATTGATTATTCAAATGCGTATTTGCATTTGAATAATGAACACAATGCAATATTTTCAAAACTGTGTATGACCTTACTCTAAAATAATGGAGTGAGTAAGATCGAAGATGATCGACTCTGTCCTCATGTCGAATGTTCTTTGGCCACCGGTATTTCGTGACGCAGCAGCACCAGGAAGCTGAAAACCTTAAGATCATCTCCTCCGTTCATGTCAGGTATCTTTTGACTCTTTAACTCCCATGAGGACAGAATTTCTCCTTACAATATCA